CATCTAAGAAACAATGATATTTCAGTTAAATTGCTTGGAATCAATGACTATTTTCGAAGTCTAGTTTAGCATTTAGGTAGCTGTAATTGTTAGTACTAAAGTATCGATCACCCTAATAGCCAAGTTCTTTTTCTGTATATCTAAATAGTCTGAAAAAATAACACCTCAATCCTATTTCAGGTAAAATATTAATTATCAACTATAAAGTCACGTTAATATTGTAAAATCTAAATCAACTTGGTTCCAAAGTGTGATCAAATCATTTTCTGATTATTTGTGACAAATCAACTGGAAGAGAAATGATCTATCATTCAAGTTTCGATGTTCCTATCATTTCATTTGTAAAAGTCCGTGAACGTACCACAATTTCTCAATTTTCTATAAAGAAGCATCTACCTGAAGACTGCGCTTATTTAGAATGATATGTGGAAAACAATAAAGTAATCCAAGTTGTTTCTCCTCTGTGTGTGTGTTTTTGTTTGTTTGTTTTTTCCTTAGATGACCTGTCTTTTTTTTATTGATAAATTTGTAATAGCCATGTCACATATTTACTTTGCAAAATAAAACAAGAAATAATCGAATGATATTTATTCCTGTGACAATTTACTGATGAAAATAACCCGTGTGACTTTTCAGAATGATGCAAAAACATACTAAGTGTTTTCTAGACAAATTACGCATGAAATTACCGCAAAACGAGCTGCAATTATTAAATTGACAACATGTTTTAATTGTATAAATCTAAGCGTGAAACATGTATTTGATTGTTTCATGGCTATGTTCAACTATTCAATTTAATATACTTAAGAAAATTAGCCGTCCCGCTTACTACAACAAATATGGAATTACTACTACGATTTGATTATTTGTTTTTAAAATGGTCTCATTTACCAAAATCAAAGTTATATGTAGTCCATAAGGGAGGTCACATTGTGACGTAAAGCAACATATTCTTAAAAAAAATAAATGTCCCACCTAAAGAAAATATTCTATGACAAAAGGAATGTTGCAAGCTTTTTACTGATGTTTTATTTTGAAAATAAGTAATTGTCTCGAATAATTTAATATTTTTACGTCATAATCAGTTCTTGGAATGATATCAAAATTATTTCTTAGAATTAAGTTCAAAGTATCTTAAAAACTAGTGTCATACAAACAACAACTACGAACGCATTATATCTGTACTTAAAGTAAATGTAGCATAATGCAATGCCTTCGTCTTTAATTTTCCTTTGGGGTATATCAATTATAGAAAAACAAACATTGCTTCTAAGCCCCAAATTCATGACAATCATTCAGAAAAGTACAACAATGGAGAAAGCATTTTTTTCGTGCAAATAAATACTAGTTGGCAAAATGTCTAGTAAAAAAGTGTTTGAAACAGCTAGTATGTACATCGTGCAGAACTATGAAATAGAAAATATCCTAATTAAGTAATTCCATTTAATTTCCATTTAATTTGTTGTAGTTACAATATAGAGCAGTTTACTACTTATTTCTGATAAATATATATTATGATGAATGTCCTGTTATGATAACACAATATATTTTGACAAATACATTTGATATATTACAGAATAAACGATTTGGACGAAATAAATTTTTGTGAGATGCACGATATAAATCTTTTAAAGTTTGACCTTTAAAATAATTGTACAAGACATGAATACATAGTCACAATCTAGATTAAATGATACTTTTCCTGATATATTTATCATCAGAGTCTTGCCACCACGTGACAAGCGGAAAAAGAAACCTTTACTGTGGATTAAAAATATATATTTTTTTAAATTTCGGTTGCTTTGGAAACTTTAAGCTGATTAAAACAATTTGAATATGTTACTGGAACCTACCGGTAATAAACAAGGCATATCAAAGAAACCACGGCTTTTTCCTGACGGGGTTTATCCCTCGACATGCGTTATCCATTTGGTCATGACGTCACTCACATTTGATAACGTTGTTTTAATAATTTACAAGTTTACTTCTTAAAAAAGAAGCATGCGAGAGGTCTTTTTGCAGCTGTTGAAGATTTTATTATTTCGAAAATATTTGGAGATATAAAAGGCACCAGAGACGGGCATAAAGTATGTTAATCAAACAATATTAAATCCATCCCAGATTTACATTGAAAGAGTATATATCATTTGATTGGAATAGACAATATATACGTAACCGCTATATGCCTCCAACCACAATATGGCAAGAAAATCAAACTTGAGAAAAAAATTGTGCCATTTTCACCAGTTGAGCCAAAAAATCTCCGTTGCGTAGTTTAGTCATACCAGTTCAAAAGTGAAAGGAGCAGCAAATTTTCGGTACACCGTTCACTCGGTCATAAAATAGTGCATGGTGATATTGTTGCTATAATGTTCACTATTATTATTTTTAGTAAAACGCTATGCAGAAAACAATTATCAATTTATACAGTTTAAAGGATTAAAAACGGAATGAACCATTGCTCGTAGTGTTAAGTAACGTAAATGATATTTTCCGATTTTTCCTTGTACTGATTTGTTCACTTCGATGTTTATTTTTCGTTTAAGTTAAGTCGTATTTTAAGGCGGAGCATGCGCATAACAATTTTTGTAGACTGATTCAAATGATTTAAGGCTTAAAATGCGATGCATTAGCTTCAATTTGATACGCAAAAATGGATGCCGCCAGCAATCATTCTCAACACTGTAAAGAGGTCTGATGACCTCTCCAATAAGTATTATCAATGATTAGAACGTGGCTTATTTATAGGTACATTTTATGTTGAAGGAAAATAATTGCATTTGTACAGTTAATAACGTTTACGTAAAGTCTTTACTCGAACATTTTTTGAAAGATTTGTTGATACTTTAAAAAAGAATGAAAACAAATCTGCAGACGTGCTGCTTTAATGTTTTAACATAATATCAATATGATACTTTCAAATATCAATATGATACTTTCATATAAATGTACAATTTCTTTCAGCCAATTACTATCACTTCGAAATTAATGCATTGAAACGCCAGGATATTTGTACCAAGTTTTATTTCATGCCTGACAGCTTTGAATGAATGTACAATGGGGATGTTTAGTTCAGTTCGTGTCACTAATTGTATTGAATGATTTCGTCCCTTCATTCGTTTTATCGTATTATTGATGATTTGAGCCGTAAAAAATTAAGGATTATGTTGGATTTATGTTGAACTGTTGAGATAATTATGGAATAAGGCCTCATTAGTGTTATAATTACGGATTGTGATTTCCAATTTCAATTTAGATTAAGGCTCAGTAACATAAAAAATAGATATGGGCGAAATAATAATAAAGACTTTGCAAAGAATTTAGGCTACAAATGAGAACACTGTTGGATTCTAAATGCACCAGGTGTCTGCTTAACTCCAAACTCAGAAGTATGGTTGTTATAATTAAAATTGTAACACCAAGATTAGTTGGTAACTCGTCACATGAAATATTATGTTCATCTTACAGGTAACGAATCAAACAAAACATTAAACACATAATAAATAATTCATTAAGATCATACACTTTATGGTTCATTATTTCGTTTGATCAGCTTATGATAGGGAATAATCTCTATTAGTTATTACATGCTTTCAAAGATCTTTGAAGCGTTCAGAAACTTCAATGACATGGATAGGAGAAGGAAATAGAGCATCGGTAAATCAGTTTTTAGTTGACACATTAATAAATATTACGTCTGAATTTATTTCTTTAATTGCATCGAGCGTTATAGCGACATTATTACTTTGATGGATATATAACATTAATATCCGTAAATGATAAGGCTTATTGAGGATTACTCAGGATTGCGGCAGTGATTAGACACTTGACCTTGTTAGTGTACCAACTACGTATCATAATTTTATATGTTCCCACTCGGATTCATGTTGAACATAGTTGAGGACTGTTCTCCACATGTCTTCTCTGTATGTACGTAATTAGAATTATTATAAAAAATAAGAATTGAATTAATTATAAAGTTTTAAAAGTTTAGCTGAAAACAATGACTTCCTTGAATTAAGCGACGGGTGTTTCTACATTTAGAGGTAAACTTTAAGACGATAATATTTTAAACGTCTGAAGAGGACAAGCAAGGCGTGTTTTGTTTAATCCGTCCTACTAAAGTCCATTACAATTACAATGTGGACAAATATAACTTGTTTTGTGTTATTGATAGGTGAATTTGTGAAGTGATACAAGACAACTTAATGCAATCAACATCCAGTAAAAAAGTCACAAAACTGTTTAATAATTGTCTTTCATTGGGGAACTATGTACTTGGATATTATCATGACAGGCGTTCGAATACACATTACGTAATGGTGAATTTACAGATTGAAATAGTTTCCAATCGGAATAAATAAAAATGTGAATTTTAGTGCATTTTGATTTGTGACATTTTCTGATTGATATCTTAATAGCTTAACTTTGGATATACTGAAAGGTACGAACGTAATACTCACAAGTAGCCATGTCAATATGTTTGACATAGTTGTACAAGAAAGTCAATCAATCAGGGTGTTTTAAGTCTGTTTGTTTCAGTCAAAAATGGATTTATTCACATCAGAGAACATAAATTCCTTTAAAATATCGCTGTAAGAACTAGATATCTTTGAGATGTCTTTACAGAAAAAATAAATATATATATAACTAAATATGAACTTGATCAAATATTGATATAATACAAGACATTTATTAATGATTTTGGTTCAAACTGGTTCTAAATGTGCCGACCATTAAATAGAATTGAACGTTTAAAACAGTTTGGAAGTTCAAAATCAGCTCTTATAAGTCATTACTTAACTTTGATATAATTTTGATTTTAAGTAATTTATCTTACATATATTTAATAGTAATGTTTTATTGCAATTCAATCACTGGTCTCAAATATGAATGTTAACTCTGTACCTTGAAGTCAGGCAGAAATATCATCATATCGGTTTTCAGAGAAGCGAGAGAAAATGATTGGCGAATGTCCATATATAAACTACGGATTGGTGTAAAAACATCTACTTTGATAAAACCCAAGCTTGAGTGATCAATTTTTTTAAAAATAATTTCAATAATAAAGTAAATATTTCTAATAAAATGGACTAATCGTGAACAGGTAAACTATTTATTAAAATCAAATATGACTGAAAAGTAATAACTTTTTCTTTCATTTAATTATAATTATAAGGAATATTTCTGCATTTATTATTATATCATCATTATATTATAATAATAATAATAATAATAATAATAATAATAATAATCAGTATTATTATTATTATTATTATTATTATTATTATTATTATTATTATTATTATTTAGTATCATGGAAAAAAACATAAAGCAAATAATAACATATAAACATTGTAGCATGATAATTTGCTTCTCGGGTATTCCAATGTTTTTGGGTGTTTTTAGTGTTATTTTTTATTTATTTATTTTAGTAACGGCAATTCGTGCATAATATATATTGACCTCTCCATGGAAGTTTGTTGTAAGTGCCGTTTGTATGTGTTTATTATATCTTTTGTTGTTCACTCGACAATGTTTTACTTTTAAAAGCATTTTCCAATTGCTATAAAAATTCTCAAGAATCTCCAGCCATGCTTCCTGAAATCAAGCAGACTAGATACATATTAAATGTGTAATGTTATTACTGACCTAAACAAACGAAGACTGAGCATCATAATTACAAAGATCTATTGATAAAAAACTGTTCTGAAAACGTGTGCATTTAATGTATCCAGATATAGAATAAGGTACTTACACATCTGATCATGAAATGTAAAAAAAATGAATTGAGTCCAATTTGTTCCGTACTAATTGAATATCATTATTTTAAGAAGTTTAATTTATTGGTGTATAGAATCAGTTACAATAATGTGCTGAACAAAAATGACATATGATGTATTTTCTTTAGCTTTGTTATAATGTTAACTTGCTGTATGTGATCACTATCCGATTTATTTAAATAACTTCAAACAACGTGGTCAACCTATTGATGGGTAGCACAATAAACCAAATTTTTTTATACTTTAAACTAATTTAGTTCGTGTCATTTCTCCCTTGTCTACATAACACAGACGATGTAGCACATTTAGTCTTATACTTACGAAAATAAGATAAAGTAAAGATTACATAAGCCTAACTCTTTTAGATTACATGAACTTAAACCATTTCGAAGATATAAGCTATCCTAAAATGTACATATGATTATTGCTTATCTCTCGAAAAGATAAACCCTAATGGTGAAGTCGATGCACATTGATTTAAAGACTATATACTTATTAGCGTCCAATACATGGACACAATAGGTAATTTACAATTATTGATATCTTTTAAAGAAGAATAACGTTAAAATAGCGGGATGGAAATGATACTACATGTATTCTCATGTAAACAAGACAAAAGATCTTAATCATATAATGTATTTTCTATAAACAACTGGTGGAATTTCGATTGTAATGAAGAAACACATTTTTTTTTTCATTTTACCAAACATAATTTTGTTCGCATGCGTTTTTGTCCACAACATTTTTTACACTCCTTCATTGTTATGGTTAAATTGTGAAAGGAATACTTAGTTCAAAAGTGTGTTTTCATCACAAAAAAATATATACTTTGTGCATTTATAACATATTTTAAAATGATAGCATTAATTTATTACTCCGTGATAATTAAACATTCTGTAGCTTAACATGACCTGACTTAATAAGAGTTAATGTTTTCAAGTAAACGTTACATCGGTGCTACGAGTGAACTAGATAACCTAAGTATTCTAAAACAAATGTAGAAATAACAAATTATTCGGCAGATTCCAATCGTGTTGTCTTTGTCGATATGTTTACGTATTCATATTTAATAGTATACTATGCATTGCTTTGCTTTGAACTTCTACAGGGAACACACGATATTGAATGAAAAATACAAACATCTATTGATTTCTCCTACTTGTCCATTTCAAGCAAAGACAAAGAATGTTACTAAATGTATTGATTTAAAATCGAAGCACTATTTTTCATTACATAATTATAATCATGTGGTAACAACAAATACGTGAGACAAAAAAATCTCATGATCAGGATTGCTCCTCTTTTAATTCTAAATTAAAGTTATATTTCTCCCTAACTTAAAAGATGACATGAGATACCACACTATGGCTGTTCTTCATTAACTATTTTTTTAATAAACGGCCAGTTATCCAAAATTTCGTGTGGTTTGTATTGGAAATGCGTTAAAAGAATTGTTGAAATTGCCCGAATCTCCGGATGTGCAAACTTTTTTTGGAAGTTCTTTTATCGTTAACAAGAAGTATCTTTAGAAACGAAAGTCAGCCATGGTAAACATAGTTTAAATATTTTGCGACGTTTCTAAGTCAGGTTTTCGTTAGTCGGAAATTTATGATTTATGACCTGTTAATATAAGAAAGTTATGATATTACGACCTGTCGCCGGTGACAGGCGATTCTATGGAGCCGACTGGGTTGAATCAAATCACCCGGAGAAAAAATTCCAAATTTAATTTCGAAGAGTGTAGTCATTTCGCTTTGATACCCTGTGAATTTTTGTCGCGCAATATTTTTTTTTTTACTTTTTTATTTTTATTTATTTATTTGTATCTTTCTAAGGGAGGTGGCTCGGGGGAATAACGTAACTATAATTACTGGAAATTACTTAAATTGCATCAAAGGTCATTTGAATATTCAACCGATAACGCACTGTGATCATGTTTTTTACATCAGGTCAGTTCTTGGCTGCGTGATCAATGTGTGCGTGGACGGTAACTTGCACTTTCCATTACTTCCATGAACAGGCTCAATCAAACCCAGCCTGCAACATTTTCAATTTTGTTGTGTTGGGCTTTCTATAGGGATTTTGTATTTCTCTAATTCATATGTAACGATCGCACACAGTTGATAGTAAAAGGCGTCATGGCAGTCAAGTGGCGCTTGTAAGTGGCTTAAAATGACCAATGGATATCCTACGTTTATTCAGTTCATCCCTATGTACTCTACAAAGTCTGAAAAACGCAATTACAACTACACATTATATAATACCACACGGATCTTTACCCAAATATAACTGTTCTGATTCCTAACGTGTAAATGTACATTCGTAATTGATCAGAAGTTTTAAATCGGGATAAGAAAAGAGAAACATGTCTGTAGATCATAAATCATACAAATTGTGTGGAAAACTAATTTATCAAGATATCTAATTTTGTATTTGCTTCTAACATTTTCACACCTGATGTTAAAACCGAACCTCATTTTAGTACGTTTGCAAAAATATTTTACACACCTCTATTTCAGGAATGCCAAAGACAGCGGGGTCGAGAGAAAGGAATCAAGATCAAATGAAAGTGTGATTAGAGATAATGATTTAATATTAAACAGTCGGATTATTTACTTCGAAAAAAAGTTTCATCGTTTCAACGTTTCAATCAACATATTATGTACATAGAAAGTCAGTTCTTATTGGACATATGTGTGCGTTTCAATGAAATAAATATAACAAAACAAAACAAAAACACCAAACAAACAAATAATTGCTATACTTTTAATGTATTTTGCATCAAAACTTGTACTTAAATTCTAGCCTCTGAAGTAAATATCCTGAGAAGTTCTTTAAGAGGATTACCTTGAAATAGCATCTTATCAGAGTAGTTTACGGGAACCCGTATACCTCGATTTCAAGTACGATACGAAGAAACGAATGTAAGAAGAACATGGCTACTCAGAAGATGTACGAATTATTAAGCAGTGGAAGAAATGTCAGTAGTTTAGAAATTAACACCTTTGAATCTCAAAATGAAACAATTGATGATATAATGGGGAATATCACATTTCGTGCTCATGTAGCAACATCACAAAGTTTGTTTATCACGCGTCTGATAGTTCAGAAATACCTCGTCCCGTTTGTTGTCGCTTGTGGTATTGTTGGTAATTTCTTTAACATTGTTGTTCTTGTCAATCCGAAAATGCGAACATCAACCAACATTTACCTTATGTCGTTAGCTTTCTGTGATTCCCTCTACCTTCTCTTTACATTGACTTTATCGTTCTTGCATTGTTCGAATAAAACACTTTCTGTAGATGCGTTCCGTTATATACCTATCGCAAGGGTGCTTTCGGATTTATTCGGAAATACGGCCGTTTGGTTAACTGTTTGTTTTACTTTAGAACGATACGTGGCAGTAAGATTTCCGATTAGAGGCAAGGCCTGGTGCACAGTAAAGAAGGCAAAGGTTGCGATATTTGCTACTGCCTTAGCTTGTTTTGTAAATACCTTTCCAGAATTCTTCGAAACACGAATAAAGCGCATTTATGTCAACCGAACTACGCATTCTTGGCATTACGCGTGTGTTTCTTCTGACTTTGCAAACAGACCAAGCTATCAGTTTGGATATTATTGGTGGTTTGTTGCAATTTTTACATTCACACCGTTGGTTTTGCTTTCTGTCTTTAATTTTCTTCTCATACGATCTGTATGGGCAGCAAATAGAAAACGACAAATGCTCTCGCAGACTAGGGTAACTGGTGAAGCAATTAAAAACACACACGAGCAGCAACGTGTTACAATGATGCTGATATCTGTAGTTGTGATATTTCTTGTGTGTCAAACACCACAGGCAATTCTTCTCATTTACAGATCTTACGTTCAAGCCAGACTTATGAAGTATCCAGCGGACTTTATTAAGATAGCCGGTAACATTTGTAACTTGCTGGTACAGATCAACTCATCAGTGAACTTTATTCTGTACTCGTATTTCAGTTGTAAATTTCGGAGAACGTTTCGTCAAGTTTTTTGTAGATGCAGAAGACACAACAACAATATGAATTCATCCGTGACATATTATCATAGGACATCGGCTTTCCGCACAGGATCAATGTCACTTCGTTCCTCACAAAATTCGGCATCGAAAATGAAAGCAACAAAAAGGGATATAATTGTAGAGATCACTTGATAAATAATCTCCGTAATGTATACATACATATCTGTAGTATTAAAGTAAAAATAAATATATTTATTTCTATAGATTTATTTTATTTAATTAAATCTTATTTCAGCTGGGTATAATCGTGTACTGGTCAAACGTTAATATCTGTTCAAAAGCTGTAATTGTTAGACTTTATTAGCGATAAGAAGATTAAAAAAAGGAATAAAAAAAAAACAACATTAAACTAATATCAACGATTAAATACTCCTTTTAAGGATAAAATTCATATTCGGTATTAATTGAAGTATAAATAAATAAACAGATAAATAAATAAATATTTGAAAATAAATAAATGGAATAAAGAATGATAAATTGCCACTTTGATCATATCATACTAATATTGTCTTTTAAGAGGAGAATTATACTGCATTCTTTATATTAAATACTTAACTTAAGATTACAAATCATGCTTTAACTCTTTCGTTTGTTTACTATCATTGTAAATGAATGAAGAAATAAAACAATAAACATTTAAGGACAAATTTACTTGATAAAATATATTTATTTAGTATGTTCAGTAGATATAAACTATTTCTACATAATTCCATTGCCAGATACTATATTAATTTGATACGCCGCTTTTTATGGAATGGCACTACTTTGTCGCATTGAAAGTTCCATGATGACCGCCGTATGAACACATCTGCGGATGTTTCTATTTTCAAAATTTCACCATCGTTCGTGTTTAAAGGTTGAATTCTGCTTAAGCCGGTGCTATGGGGCGTGGACGGTAACTTGCACCGTCCATGAACAGGCTCAATCCAACCGACCCTGCAACATTTTCAATTTTGTCGTGTTGGGCTTTCTTACGGGATTCTGTATTTCTCTATGTTACTATTTCTTATTGAAAAGGTTCAACATACTTATGAGAACCATCAATCATATCTCATCGGAATCTAATATTCTAAATGCCATTAATTTAAACAATTTAAGGATTTAAGGCAATGTGACATATCGATTGACACAAGATAAGAAAGGAACGACCAATGAAGCTTGATATCAATAATTGTACATGGTTTCTTTGCCATTGCCTATGTCCATGATGAACGTGTTATTGGTTTTGCTCCGATCCTTTTTCCATCATCTGAGAAATTAATAAACAAAACTTATTAATTTCATAAAAACACACGAACGTTATTAAAATTTGCCTATTTTACTACATTCATAGAGTGCGCTAGCTTCTGGGCGGAGATTGTCTAATGTACAGCATGTGCGTTTCTAAATCTATTTTAAGCGGCTTTCTTTTTCGAAAAGTAAAAATGCAAAATAACCAAGAATTATAATAGAAATAAGTAAGAATAGAAATCTAATCAGATTGAGTATTAAACATTGATAAATTGGAAAATATTTTAGATTATTACCCCTCACTTTTTTCGTAATGCTAATTTCCCATAGCCCTCTGGGAGTTATTTTTACTGTTAATGCAAGTGTACCACGTGACTGAGAATTTTGTACTGTTACATAGGTAACAGCATTTTTTAACGGGTCACGTGGTCTATTTCCTAAATAAAATGAAATAAAATGGCCGCGATTTTTTCTCGATTCATTCTTATTTTCAACGTTAAACCCAGATAGGACATCAATTTCTCCTCGGGAGTCACTATGACACTCATAAAATTTAGTTGTGTGCACCCTGGTGTGCTTTTCGCGTATAAAATACCTTTTGGTTGAATAGTCAAAAAGTGAACATCCGTTTTCAACGGAAGCAATTGCAATGTAAATAATTATGTGTCAAACTGGAACATGCAGACGATTTAAACATGTAACAAAGGATTATTTAACAAATTTAATCAGTGAAACGTTACAGATATGGTGGACTTAGGATATCATCGTTATTTTGTCAAAAACCGTGCTAAGAATATTCTGGAAACAGAAGGATCATATTTCACAGATCATAACCGTGTAAATGGGTTAGTGTTTTGTTTCCTAAATGAAACCTAGCTTATTGTATGTTTATGGTTTGTAGGTATCATCATTTGCTTAAAAAATAAAAGAAAAAGAAAAACTTCTCAAGTAGGCATACAGTAAAGTACACTAAAACTGAAAAGGTAAGGACAGTTTAGTTATTGTTACTCTTGGTTTATTTTTGTTACAGTTAGATTTAGTTGACAATTTCAGATCATCTCAGTATTTTTGTTCGGGTAATAAAATAAATAACACATGGGTTTGTGAGTAACAGTAAAAATATCATCCCTCGTAAAAATACTGTTACCCTCGGCTACGCCTCGGGTAACAGTATTTTTCTCGGGATGATATTTTTACTGTTACCCACAAACCCATGTGTTATTTAATATACTATCATATAAATGCATTCCCTTGAGGGGACTTAGTATACTTTGCTAACTTCCTCTCTCTCAACAACTCAACAAGTTTTTTCACTTTTGGTAAACAAAGCTTATTCAAAATGTAAACAATATGATAAAATAGTTGGATATGCGCCACACATTATAATAATACAATCACATGCACTGATATAACTTTTAAACCATAGCCAAACATAAAAACAACATGAATTATATCAACAATGAAAGTCTTTCAAATTTCATAACTAACAACATAAAATACAAATGTTTCTATTAACAATCATCAAAATTGCCTGCAACTCATTAGTCACCTCTACCTCTATATTTATTAATATTTAATTAATTTATATTGTTTTCCTATTAAAATGACTCAAATCTGAATGACATTGTATAATTTGCATTTTATTTGGATATCTTTTCAATTGTTTTCGTGGAAAATAGATATCTAAAGTATCTCTAAAATGAATATATTTCGCTCGTTAGTTTTTTAAGTACTGATGGCAGAATATAATGCGTTAAGTTTTTTAAAGATACAAATGCTTTAAGTCATTTATGACAGATACAGACATAAGTTGTCACTACCTAAAAAACTGTATTTACTTAAATCTACGATTCAATCTGTTTATGAATCAATAATAGGTGTAAAAGGACATGTAAAGTAATAGTTGAAGCTTAACTGGTATATTAACCTTAACAAGGAGACTGTTCTCGGGAGATAATCTCTATGTAACAGTTTTCAATAAATTGTCAGAAAAAATGTGATGATTGACGCTGATATAGTTTTTCTCACGACATTAAATCTAAAAAAAGATAAGATTTTATTTATATTTGTTCGCTGATCAAAGATAATGCAGTTGTATAATTTATCACTTTTGAATACTTATCTATAATCATGCGTAGATCTTCATGGTTTCAGCTGAAATTGTTTTTTATTTTACTACAATGGAGCTATTTCAATTTAAAGATTTTGTTTAAAAAAATGAATAATAATTTTAATGCTTTCTTCCATATGATATATTTTCTAGATCTTAAATCCTATTCAAATGTGCAATGCTATGTTTTGATTTGGTCATCATTTCCGTCAGCTATGTTAAATGATGAGATAGGATGAACATGTGCAACAATGGAGCGTGCCAGCAATATCTTATCTGTCTTTGCAAATTTTGCCGTTAATGGTGTATGTATGCGGGAAAAGTTTTTACGGACGATATTTATATCTTGACCTGTATTTAAATCGTTCCCGCCACTTCTTATAATTTTCAACAGCATGTTTCCTTACAGCGAATTTGTATGCGAAATAAATGCAAAACCTTATAGTTAAGTTATAATATATCGGTCATGATATAATATAAATTTCTACAAAACATTTGTTTTCAATGGTAAAGGACGCAATAAAACAAGACAAAGATGTTTAATTGCTATATTGTGTATGTTAAGGCAAAAAACATATTAAACGCACAATTATAGTTTCTTAAAATACAGTAAAATGTTCTGTATAAAACAACAATATATTCAAGCATTCGAATGAATAATCAGTACGATTTTTTTTTCAGAAATAATGTTGCAGAACTGAAATGTTTTCAAATACGCTAAATAAAACAATTCATTTCAATATCTTAAATGTCATGGACACATTTTGAGTTGTGATATGAAATAATTAACCGCACGAGTATGAAAAATAATTGAAAAAAAAAACAACAAGAAAATTAGTCAGTGATTTTGTGCAGACATACGAACGTGTTATTGCGTATAAATCATAAATCAAAAGTCGTGGCGAAAATATTTGAAAATTTGAGCTTTGACAAAATCCTAATAATTAACCAGACGGTAAACATTATTTTGTTACCTGAATTGAAAATAATATGCTATGTATCGAAGATAAAGTCTTTAAATCAAGTGTCCCCCCTACTGTTTTAAAACTTGAACTATTTTGAACATCGTTACGATTAAGCCTTGAAGATTAATGGCTTGAGTGCATATGACTTTACTATCCTTGTAGGATCTGTTTGAATAAAATGTGATTGAAATATCTGTTTGAAACCCTAGTTCACATTTCAATTGATTAGAGAAAAAAAACAGGTGCAAGATATTAAACCTAATTGAATGGCATACTTGCCTACTGATACTTTTTATAGAACAGATGTGTTCATAGAAAAGATAATATGACCTTGAAATTATACAGCATGCTAATTGCATGAGAATCAATCCTTAGAATACAATTGTCCTTGATTAATTAAGAGAACATATGCTTATTTCCTTTAATTAATTTACTGTTGAAATCAAGATGTTCATGCAATTTTTAATTATTGTTTTTACATAAACAGTAATTGAAATTAATACTTGTTACTTTTGTTTAGTCATTCATTCAAGATCAAGTAGCATTTTATGGTTGAAAGACGGTAGATATTATAGCATTTGAACAGAAACAAATCTGTTGATTTTTTTAAGAATTTTGATGTAGCATCTATAACATAAAATCTTAGAACAGAGTTATTATATATTTCATATATTCAAATATCGTCTAGCAATAGAACTCTTCTTTAAATGTGTGCTATAAAACGGATGAACACTATATTCAAGTTGTAAGTGACGCGAAAAATATTGGACACCAGGAAAGCTACACATGTTTTTTCGTGATGCTTTCATAAAAAAGAGCATTAGGCATTTTGTTTTTACAGAATAT